ATATATATTTATATATATATATACACATATATATATAGACTTCAGAGAGCAGAGAGGAATGGAGAGGGAGAGAGTGCTAGAAACATCAATGATGAGAGAGAATCATGGATCTGCTGCCTCCTGCACACCCCACACTGGGGATCGAGCCCGCACGCAACCCAGGCCTGTGCCCCGACCGGGAATCGAACCATGACCTCCTGGTTCATAGGTGGACACTCAACCCCTGAGCCACGCCAGCAGCCTGGGCTTGGGGACGTTTTGGAACACAGATGCTGTGCTGCTGCTCCGGCGGTGGAGGAGGGGCCACCGGTGCGGGCACACAGGAGCTGGACGAGGCGGGCAGTGGGCCTCTGGGGGACTTGGTCCTACCCACACCTGCCACACACAGAGGCATGTGCTGTCCTAGCTCCGGCCCCCGAGTCAGGGCCGTGAGACGGCGTGGCCCTGGGCACCTCGGGGACAGTGGGTCCGCACAGTGGCGGGGACTCCCAGGGCCACATCGCTTTGTAAAAATTGCTAAACTAAGATACTGTGACCCCGGAGGTCCCCACACTCTCTCATTGTTCCCTCTGTCACGCTTCCCCTCCTGTTGGGGTGGCACTGGAGCAGCGGGGTGCCTTCGGGACCTGACTGAGGGGAAGTCGAGTTGTGGGAACATGGGCCGGGGTGAGCGGAGTGTGTCCTCGGTGTCACTTGCAGTCCCTTCTCTGCGTAGTGAGGTTAATGCCAGACATCCGGCACACAAACAGCGTCAGGAACACCACGACACTCACGGAGAGGGCGGATCACAGGGGCTGAGGGAAGAGGGTGAACAGGCTGCCGACTGGACAGGAAAGGCTGAGTCGGCCAGATAAACTGCAACCACCAGCGGTGGGACCAGGCCACGGATCAGAAGGGGCATCTTAGATGTCACCGCCCCGGACGCGCACCCGAAACTCCAGCTGGCGGATGGAAGAAGCTCGACCAAGTTCTCTCCAAATCCGACAGCGGTCTTGACAGCGGAGGTGGTGCGACCGGTGCCGGGCAGTCCAACCAGAGCGTCTGTGAAACAGCCGCCTCCATTTGCCTCCCGGCCACCTGTGCTGGAGGGACTCGATGAGCTTTCTCTTTGCTCCCTGGAAAATGATATTGCAAAATCATTGCAAAAAGAGACAAGACAAAATGTAGATTAAAAAGGTATCATTGCCCCAATAGTGTGTCTCCGTGATTGAGCGTCACCTATGAACCGGGAGGTCACAGCTCCATGCCGGGGGTCAGGACTCAAGCCCAGGCTGCGGGCTCGGTGGGCCGCCCCTCCGCAGAGCCGGTGCC